ACTCAGGTGGACTGTGAGGCTCTGGACAGAAAAACTGACCTGGCTGATGTCACCTGGGTATAAAGGTCTGTGCTGTCCCTTTAAGAGACAAGCCATGCCCACTCCCTCCTCCCCTCCACTGCAAGCTCATCTTCAGCTTCCAGCCTGAGTCCTTCCCTTCTCTCTCTCTCTAAGAGGCAGCTTCTGTCTCTCCCTTCTCCCCTTCCCCCCTCTGCTTGTCTCTCTCTCTCTCTGCTCTTCCCCCTTCTCCCCTTCCCTTCCATAACCCAATAAATAAATATCCAACTTGACTCTGCATGACATGCCTATCCATGTCTCCATTTCTTTTTTAATTAATTATTTACTTATTTATTAAAGATTTCTGTCTCTTCCCCGCCTCTGCCTCCCATATCCCTCCCCCTTCCCCAATCAACTCCCCCTCTCTCATCAGCCTGAAGAGCAGTCAAGGTTCCCTGAGCTGTGGGAAGTCCAAGGACCTCCCACCTCCTTCTAGGTCTAGTAAGATGAACATCCAAACAGTCTAGGCTCCCACAAAGCCAGTATGTGCAGTAGGATCAAAACCCAGTGCCATTGTTCTTGACTTCTCAGTAGTCCTCATTGTCCGCTATGTTCAGCTAGTCCGGTTTTATTCCAGGCTTTTTCAGACCCAGTCCAGCTGGCCTTGGTGAGTTCCCAATAGAACATCCCCATTGTCTCAGTGTGTGGGTGCACCCCTCGCAGTCCTGAGTTCCTTGCTCATGCTCTCTCTCCTTCTGTTCCTGATTTGGACCTTGGGGTTGTAGTCCGGTGCTCCAATGTGGGACTCTGTCTCTGTCTCCTTTCACCGCCTGATGAAGGTTAATATCCAGGTGGATGACTATATGTTTGTCTTTGGGTTCACCTTCTTATTTAGCTTCTCTAGGATCATGAATTATAGTTATGGTTAGAAACCAAATATGAGTGAGTACATCCCATGTTCCTCTTTTTTGGTCTGGCTTACCTCACTCAGGATAGTGTTTTCTATTTCTGTCCATTTGCATGCAAAATTCAAGAAGTCATTGTTTTTTTTTTTTTTTGATTTTTCGAGACAGGGTTTCTCCGTAGCTTTTGGTTCCTGTCCTGGAACTAGCTCTTGTAGACCAGGCTGGCCTCGAACTCCCAGAACTCCCAGAGATCCGCCTGCCTCTGCCTCCCGAGTGCTGGGATTAAAGGCATGCGCCACCACCGCCCGGCTGAAGTCATTGTTTTTTACTGCTGAGTAGTACTGTAATATGTATATATTCCATACTTTCTTCATCCATTCTTCCATTGAAGAGCATCTAGGTTGTTTCCAGGTTCTGGCTATTACAAACAATGCTGCTATGAACATAGTTGAGCATATACTTTTGTTGTATGATAGGGTATCTCTTGGGTATATTCCCAAGAGTGCTATTGCTGGGTCGAGGGGTAGGTTGATCCCGAAATTCCTGAGAAACCGCCAGACTGATTTCCAAAGTTGTTGTACAAGTTTGCATTCCCATCAGCAATGGATGAGTGTACCCCTTTCTCCACAACCTCTCCAGCAAAGGCTATCATTGGTGTTTTTTATTTTAGCCATTCTGACAGGTGTAAGATGGTATCTTAAAGTTGTCTTGATTTGCATTTCCCTGATCGCTAAGGAAGTTGAGCATGACCTTAAGTGTCTTTTGGCCATTTGAACTTCTTCTGTTGAGAATTCTCTGTTCAGCTCAGTGCCCCATTTTATAAGGAAGTGAAAGATCTATTTGACAAGAACTTTAAGTCTTTGAAGAAAGAAATTGAAGAGGACACCAGAAAATGGAAGGATCTCCCTTGCTCTTGGATTGGGAGGATCAACATAGTAAAAATGGCAATTCTACCAAAAGCAATCTATAGATTCAATGCAATCCCCATCAAAATCCCATCAAAATTCTTCACAGACCTTGAGAAGACAATAATCAACTTTATATGGAAAAACAAAAAACCCAGGATAGCCAAAACAATCTTATACAATAAAGGATTGTCTGGAAGCATTACCATCCCTGACTTCAAACTCTATTACAGAGCTACAGTATTGAAAACAGCTTGGTATTGGTATAAAAACAGAGAAGTTGACCAATGGAATCGAATAGAAGACCCGGACTTTAACCCACAAACCTATGAACACCTGATTTTTGATAAAGGAGCTAAAAGTATACAATGGAAAAAAGAGAGCATCTTCAACAAACTGTGCTGGCAAAACTGGATGTCAACCTGTAGAAGAATGAAAATAGATCCATATCTATCACCATGCACAAAACTCAAGTCCAAATGGATTAAAGACCTCAATATCAGTCAGAACACACTGAACCTGATAGAAGAGAAAGTGGGAAGTACTCTATAACACATGGGCACGGGAGACCACTTCCTACGTATAACCCCAGCAGCACAGAGATTAAGGGCATCATTGAATAAATGGGACCTCCTGAGACTGAGAAGCTTCTGTAAAGCAAAGGACACTGTCACTAAGACAAAAAGGCAACCCACTGACTGGGAGACGTGTGGCTGTGGGCAAGAGTCAGAGACATGGATAGGAATACCATGCAGAGTGAGGTTGGGTGGATTATGGAAGGGAAGGGGGAGAAGGAGAGAAGAGCAGAGAGAGAGAAAGAAGAGAGAGGAGAGAGAGAGAGAGAGAGAAAAAACCAGAAGGGTGAAGGGGAGAATGGAGGGAGGCAGAAGTTGCCTCTTTAGGGGAGAGATGGAAAAGAGGAAGAGACTCAGGCTGCAAGCAAGAAGGAAGATCTGCCTGCCTCAGTAGAGGGGGGAGTGGGAGGGGCTTATCAACTTGTCAAATGAAGCATGCCAACCCAGGGCATGGCTTTGTGCCTCAAAGCTCACCCTGAAAAGCACTGGGGTTACAGTGGATCCCGAACACCCAGGGTAGTAACCTGCCGGCTAATAAAGACTTTCTGTTAATTCCAACATCGAGAATAAGACCACTACCACAATTTGAACCAAATTTAAAGCAAGCTTGATTTTTATTGGGGTGTACCCAAGAGCTGGCCAGCCTAAGTCAGGTTAAAGAGAGCAGACCCAAATTCATCTCTTGGGGTCCTTTTAAGGAGTGAGATCACTAGTAGTTTCACAGAAGGGAGACAATGGGGCAATAAGGAAATACAAAAGTCGCATTCTCAAAAATAAGTCAGTGGTGGCTTTATAATCCAAGCACTTGGGAGGCAGTGGTGGTGCATGCCTTTAATCCAGCATTTGGGAGGCAGACAGGAAGGTCTTCCTGAGTTCAAGGTCAGCCTAGTCCACAGACCAAGTTCCAGGACAGCTAAGGCTTTTACATAGAAAAACCTGTCTGGTGTGTGTGTGTGTGTGGGGGGGGGGGGGGAGGAGACGACAAAGGTCAAGGTCATGGGTTGGGGAAGGTCAGGTTCCAGTAAACAGCAATTCAGCTCTCACAGTAAATAGAAACCTACTTTTAAAACACAGCATGATGGCTCCTGCCTTCAAAATGGAGTCAGGCAGGCTCCTCAATTCCATTGGCTTAATTCCATGTCTGAAGAGTCTTCTTTGGTGAAGACCCCCATAATATTTCTGATTAAAGAACATTTCAGCTTCTGGACCCGCCTGTCCGCTTTCAAACGTTACCAAGTCTCCGCCATCAATCCCTAACAAGGAACTTTATCAAGCAACGCTGCACAAAGGGACCCAGCACACAGTGGTGTAACTACAGCTCTTGGAGGGAGGGCAGGTCAGCTGAAACCTTGACTCCCTAGAGGCTCTTTGTCTTTTAATCAGGGCCTCTGAGAAAGCCTCAGATTGGCCTGGCCCCCAACAGGTTTCTCTTTGGGTGGAAAGTTCCATAGCCTTAACCCAAACAGTTTCACTGTAGCCCTTGTTGGCCTTGAACTCCTAATCCTCCTGTCTTCCCAGTGCGGGTGCTAAAAGCTGGAAAAGACTCCATTTCTGTGTTGGGCCCTTTTGGAACCTTGAACTACACTCCAGCACCCAGGAAAAGCTGAAGGCTGTGGGATCCTCTTTAGGGTAAGTATTAGCTAATGGAGAAACGTATACACGAAGTTGCTGACTGCAGCCCATTCCCCCACCAGTAGTCAGAGAATGTTGACCACCCAACTTCCTTATCAGCTGGGCAATATTTAAAGCAGCCCCTGGATTAGCACAGGGTCAGCAGATGTCTGGAGGACATAACCAGGACTGTTGCTATCCCCCTTCGATACTAATAGCCTATCAAGAACTAACAGCTGAGCTTTACCCAATCTTTAGCCAGTTATGATATAGGATATGTAATTTTATATTTTGATACTGAAACTTGTGACTGTTTTATGGTTTTTGTCTTTATAAACCCTTTACAATAGTAAACGGGGTCCTTCTCCCTCCATCTGCTGTGTCTGTGAGACTGAGGACCCGTGCTAGCCCGTACTTAATAAACGAAACCTTGTTTTTGCATTTGGAAGTGTGGCTCCGTGGTGGTCTTCTTGAGGGTTCCTAGGACTCAGTCACAACAGTGCCAAGTTGTGTGTGCCATCACACCCAATTTTCCGTGAATAAATCTGGCTTTTTTTTTTTTTTTTTTTTTTTGTTGTTGTTGTTTTTCGAGACAGGGTTTCTCTGTGGTTTTGGAGCCTGTCCTGGAACTAGCTCTTGTAGACCAGGCTGGTCTCGAACTCACAGAGATCCGCCTGCTTTTCTTGTGTCCTCTTTGGAGACAAGGTCTCCTGTGGCCCAGGCTGACGTCCACTGTGAAACCAACAATAGCCCGCAACTCCAGCTGCTCCAGACTTTACCTTCAGTCTGGTGCACAGGCGCACCCAGATCCCAGCGAGCAGTGGGACGCCTCTGGACAGCAGCCAGGCCTGGGCAGGACTGCGCTGGATCGCACCGGTGTCAGTATCGTGCTGGTCCTGTCCATCAAGGAACAGGGACTCGCTGGAGCCAATCAGAATTGCGTATAAGGGGAGCCGTCCAATCGACAGCGGGCAGCCGCCTTTCCGGTGCCTTCCTGTTCGGCTCGTGTCTGCCCGTGTCGGCTGCAGCGGGGCGCTTATGGTCGGTGGTTGCGCCCAGCGGAGCGCACGGAGATCGGAAACGCATATCGGCTGCAGCGCTGCGCACACGGTCGGTGGAGACGCCCAGCGGAGCGCACGGAGATTGGAAACGCGCCATGGTGAGTGTGGCGAGGAGACGCCGGTGGGAGGCTGAGAGGCCGGGGACTCTGCAGTCGGCTACTCGGAAGTTCCCGGAACTGCGCGTTTGCAAACCACTCTCCCGGAGTCCGCAGCCAAACCGCAATGGAAAAAGGGGCCGCCGTGTTTATGTGTGTTCAGGTGTTCAAGTGGAAAGGGAGACATAGGGCCCTCTCTGGGGCTGTTTCTAGAAATGTTTAGTGTTTTAAATTACACTTATTTGTAGGGGTGGGCCGGTAGGGAGGTCCGAGTCCGGTCCCGGCTTGCACCGTGTGGATCCTGGGGCTCGAACGCAAGTCCTCAGACTTTGCAGCAAACACCTTTTCAGCTGAACCATCGCGCAGGTCCCTTCTTTTTCTTTTTCCCTTATTGTTTTTTCCCTTATGTGCATATTCACAATCCAGGTGAGACCATGTGCCTAGGATGAGAGAAAGGGAACTAAGTCTTCCTGGGGTGGAGAGATGGCTCAGAGGAACTGAGTTCAATTTCCGCAGGCAGTCACGTGGTGACTCAGCCATCTGTGATGGGATCGGATGCCCTCTTCTGGCGTGCAGACAGCACTCATACATTTTCCCCAACAGAAAAATTACAACTTGTTGGAAAATTTTCCCATCATCTGTTGTATGTCCCCCCCCCCCATTATATCACAAGCAAAAGGGGTGGGGGTTGAAGGTCACTATAACCCCGCCTGGCCAGGACTATTTCCTTACCGGTGTAAGGACCCAGTGCCAACAACAGAAAGGAGAGCAATGAAATAATACAGGGCATGCTAGAGCTTCAGTGGGGCCGCAGAGGGACAAAAAGTCTCCATAATCTTGTGAATGGCCCAGTGTGGGTGCTGGGAACTGAACCCAGGTCCTCTGGAAAAGCAACAAGTGCTTATTACCACTGAACCATCTCTCCAGCCCCTTAAGATTGGCGGGAAGGGGGCGGGGTCCCCCTCTCCCTCAAAGATCCTTCCTGACTCCCGGGTGCCAGGGATTAAAGGTGTGGCCACTACCATGATCTCAGAATCTGATCATTTTAGCCTCAAGGTTTTTGGTTTTTTTGAGACAAGCTTTCTCTGTGTAGCTTTGGAGCCTGTCCTAACAATGCTCTGTAGACCAGGCTGGCCTCGAACTCACAGAGATCCACCTGCCTCTGCCTTCTGAGTGCTGGGATTAAAGGTGTGCACCACCACCTCCCAGTTTAGCCTCAGTCTTTAGCATGGTCCTTCTCCCGGTCTCTACTGCCTCCTTCCCTCCCTTTCTCTGTCCTTCTCTCCCTCTTGGGAACTTAAGTTCTCAGGGAGTTACCAGGAAACTGATACCTGAAGCCTTAAATTCCAGGCCTGCTTAGAACCCCCGTTCCAGCGCCTAGCTTGTCCGCAGGCAGTGTCTGGGGCTCAGGCTCTCTGCTAGACGAGAAGCTGGAAAGCACCTTCTCTGTCCTTACAGTGACTGTAAAGGAGGGACCGTGTGGCCTCGGGCCAGGGTGGGTTAAAATTCAACCTGTTTGATTTTCGGGATCCAGCTTTTTGTTGGGTCTAAAATGTCCCCATAATTGAGTAGCAAAAGTGCTGTTACCCTCTGAGGCATCTCTACCACCCCATAATAAGAGACCCATATGCACCTCTTTCCCTCCCTCGTCTGCTGAGTCTCTGTTCTCTCATACTCCATGGCTTCTTTATTTTGTTGTGATTGTGTGTATGTGTGTGATTTGTCTGTATGTGTGCCAGAGTGCAGGTACCTGCAGAGGACAGAGGTTCCAGTCTCCTGGAGCTGGCATTAGAGGCAGTGTGAGCTACCCAACGCGGGTACTTGGATCCAGCTCATCTCTACAGCCCCTCGTGTCTTCCTTGGTATGTGGGTACCAGGCATGGAGGCCCAAGCATGCAGTCCCAACACTGAAGTAAAAGGAGAAGGCCAGACTCAGTTGTTGGCTTCTAGGTCAGCCTTAGCTACATGAGACCTCATCTTCAAAATATGCATTGACACATGGTGGCTCACAACTGTCAAAGTAAAAGGGGGAAAGCAGATTTATTCTTAATAAGCCAGGCATGGTGGTATGGGCCTGAATCCCCAGCATTTGGGAAACAGAAACCAGAGAATTAAGTTCAGGGGCAGCCTGGATTACAAAAGAATTTGGGCCCCCCAAACACAGTTATTCCTGGCCTGTGGTCTCACTGCTGAGAAAGCAGAAGGAGAGAAGTGGAGGTCAAGGCCCCAGCTGGAGCTACTGAGAAACTGAACAAAAAACAAATAAGGAGCCAGTCGGTGGTGGTGCACACCTTTAATTCCAGCCCCGAGGAGGCAGAGGCAGGTGGATCTCTGTGAGTTTGAGGCCAGCCTGGTCTACAAGAGCTAGTTCCAAACAGGCTCCAAAGCTACAGAGAAACCCTGTCTGGGGGGAGGGGGGCGGTGCAAGCAAACAAATAAGGAGATAAAATGCTAAGTACAAGTAGGTTGTGACCTTATTGGAAGGAGTGTAGGACTAGGAGAGGGGAGCACACACTGAGGTTAGACAGAAGAGGGTGTGTGCATGTGTATATTCCCTGTGCCGATAGAGGCCAGAAGAAGACATTGCACACCTTGGAACTGGAGTAACAGATGGTTATGTAGGTGCGAGGAACCAAACTCTTGAGTTCTCTGCAGGAGTAGCAAGTGCTTTTAAATACTGAACCATGCCTCCTTTTATGTATATGAATGTTTGCCTCTGTGTGTGTGTGTGTGTGTGTGTGTGTGTGTGCGCGCACGCACACCATGTACATGCCTGGAGTGACAGATGACTGAGCTACCATGTGGGTATGGGACCAAACCCAGGTCTTCTGGGAACAAGTGCTCATAACGGCTGGTCCATCTCTCCACTATCCCCGTCTATACCCCTTTTCACACTAATTTGTGCCTCTCCTTGTATCAGTTTTAATATATTGTTTCTTTCTTAGAATTGATTAATTACAGTCAAGTTGTTAAATATGTGGAACTGGTATTGTTTATGATACTCCTTTGTGGTCCCTTTTATTTAGACTTTTATCAGTGGGTCCTTTTATCACAGGTATCGGTGGTTTCCAGATTGTCTTTTTGTGCATTTTATTGTGTGTGTGTGGGGGGGTGTGTGGGTGTGGGTGTGTGTGTGTGTGTGTGTGGGTGTGTGTGTGGGTGTGATATATGCACCTGTGCCGTAGAGTGCATTGAAGGTCAGACACTCAGAAATCAGTACTCCTTCCACCGCGTGTCTCCCTGATTGAACTTCATCCCCAGGCTGGGCTGCAAGCACTTCCTCATGCCCACCGTCTCTTTTTCAGTTTGACAAGAATTTTATCAAATCTCATCCACCTTTTCAAAGAATGGGCTTTTCCTTTTGTTGTTTTCTTGAGTTTAATTTCTCATGTTCGCTGGGCATGGTGGCACACACTTTAATCTCAGCACTGGGGAGGCAGGCAGATCTCAGTGAGTTCGAGACCAGCTTGGTCTACAATGGGAGTGCCAGGACAGCCAGAGTGAAACCCTGTCCTGAAAAACCAAACAACAACAACAACAAAAAGAACGGTAACTTCTCATGTTCTTGGGATTGTCATAGTTTCCAAGATATGTGTGTGTGTGTGAGCCAGGTAGTGGTAGCACACGCTTTTAATCCCAGCACTCAGGGAGGCAGAGGCAGGCAGATCTCTGAGTTTGAGGCCAGCCTGGTGTACAGAGTGAGTTCCAGGACAGCCAGAGATATACAAGGAAACCCTGTCTGGAAAAAAACAAAACAAAGTGTTACATGCCTAGGAAGGCCGGAAGAGGGTGCTGGATCCCCTGGAGCTAGGCTTACAGGTGACTGCTGGGCATCCCCTTGGGTAAGTGCCGCAGCAGTAGAGCTACTACCACCTACCCCCACCCCCATGTAACCCGACACCGCGTTAGAAACACCTGTAAAGGTTTGCAGGTTTTGTGAACAGCTGACCGCATAGCTTTGTTGGATGCGAGTATTCCTTGTTTCTCTCTAGATTTTGTAGTCTGCAGGTACTTTAGGTGTTCCACTCTTTCAGGTAGTGCTAGAAGTACATGTATCTCATTTCATATATTTTATTTTCCTTATTTTTTTTAAGGGAAAAGGTTTATTTCAGCTGAGTTCCTATTTGCAGTTGATCATGGAGGGGGACATCACAGCTACAGGAGCTGGAAGGAGCTGGCCATCTTTGAAATGACTGGCTTTTATTTATGTGCCTCTGGATGCTATGGGACGACAGGCTGTGCCACCAACACCTGGCTTCTGTTTCTTCACCATCTCTGTTGATTGTTTGAGTTTTTGTTTTAAAATTGCGTGTGGGGGGGTTGTTTGTGTCTGTGTACCACATGAATATAGTGCACACAGATCAGAAAAGGGTGTCAGATCCCCTGGAACTGGACTTAGATTGATGTGAGCTGCCGGGCGATGGTGGTGCACGCCTTTAATCCCAGCACTCGGGAGGCAGAGGCAGGTGGATCTCTGTGAGTTTGAGACCAGCCTGGTCTACAGAGCTAGTTCCAGGACAGGCTCCAAAAAGCCACAGAGAAACCCTGTCTCAAAAAAACCAAAAAAACAAAACAAAAAAAAAGATTGCTGTGAGCCACTGTGCATCCTAGGGATTGGACAAAAAATGCTCCTGACCACCAAGCGCCTCTCTAGAGCCATCATCAATGATGATGCTGATTGTTGGTGTGGGGTACACATGCCATCAGACGTGTGTACATAAAAGAATAACTTAGAGGAGTTGGTTCTCTCCAGGGGTCCGGCTCGGGTCACAGATTTGCCCATTATGCAATTGGGCCTACTGAACAGTCCGGCCAGGCCCCTGGTGTGATTCTCTTGTTATTTAAGTTGTTGGGATCCCTTCCCAAATCCAGATCCTAGATACCAGGAGAGGTTGAACCGTGTGAACTGGCTGCTCACAGACCATCTTGGAATGCTTATTCGCTCCTTCGGCACTGCAGACAGTAGCGCTGGCACTGCAGACAGCACTGGCACTGCAGACAGC